TCAGGGGCCTCACTTATGAAAAATCAAGTACCAGTAATCTGATTCTGAATTTTATTTCCGTATGTTTCTTACATCAAAGTTTCGGCTTTTGATGTGCTGAAAAAAAACAAAAAAAACAATGCAAGCTGCTGAATTTTTTGGTGGTCGAGGCAAACTATGTTCAGTCAGATGTTTCATAAATGATGCCCAGATGTTCCTATCAGCACACACCGCTGTGACTGTCTGCTGTTTGTTTTCTATTTGTGTGAACTGGCTGTCTCATCATGTGAGGCGGTGGCACTGAGGGAGGGGAGGGGGGGGAGGGGGGGACGGGGTGGCTAGGGAAGAAATGTTATTTACATATTTGATTTTGTTGTTTTTCAGATGTATATGACAAATCAAACAGCCAAACAAATCACGGACCACAGTTATAACGGCGAAAAAATACTGAATATTAGCTGTCAGGGTCGACTTGTACTGCTGGTTAGCGTGATGCATGTAAGCTTGCTGGTCAGGTTCAAGCGTTCTGGCGGTAACTGTTGCATTACCTCTGCTGCACTGAAAACGAAAGAACAAAGACATTAAATACAATAAAAAATGTAATCATGCTGGGAGAACAAGCAGAAAATAGACAAAGTTACTGGTTAGCTAGAAAGCTAAATAAGATTTAATCCTAAATTGTTTTTTTTGCCTCACCATATTTTGTGAATGAGCTATCATGTTAGCCTATTAGCAAGCTAATGGCTAGTTAGCTAGCTAGTGTTAGCTCGCTACAAAAGCAGTGGCGGTTTAGCCAAATTTTGAAACCGTATATGAGACAAAATGAAACGAGAACAAACACGTGAAGAACATTAAAATCACATCATGGAAAAAAGAGCCATTCTAAGCCATAGGAACAAGTAATGCTAACGATAGCTCATGACTAAATGTGTAGGTATCTCCCCACAAAGAGCATTTTATTGACTAATAAGTAAGCTCATGAAACAAGCTTGAACTAGTCAGGCTAACTAGTCTTAACTTGCTTCTATAGCTGTAGAGATTGGTTAATGTTTACCATGTAGGCTAATCAGTTTTACGGAGAATATTAGGACAAGAACAACTAGTTTGGATTTGGAACAGTTTATTGGTAATAATCGATAATAATGGCAGATCCCAGCTAGCGTTAAACGACACTGTTTCACGTAGTTCATTGATTTTATTTTTGTATGAGCGAGGTTTGTTGCAGTGCAGTGGAGGTAATACAACAATGAAGAGCACTACATTAGCCTGTGGTTCCTATGAGGTGGTGGAGGTTTTGGACCGGCTGTAGTCCAGAAATATAAGTATTAGAAGTGAGATATTAAATTGCCATGTCATATGCCTTGTTGTGCCATAAACACACCAGATACGAGTTTCACTGTGTTCAGTCTGAATGGGTCATTTTTTTATATTTAATTTTTTGTACTCGTTTTTGATTTATTTGGTTTTTTTTTACTGTGACTTTGACATGGGAATAGACGCCTCACTGTTCTGTTAATGATGCGTATCACAGCTTCAAACTTCGCCTAGCAACGAGTGGGGAGATCAAACCCGATCGGGCGATTATTCTTACTTCTAAAAGCTCTTATCCAATCAGACGCCCAGACATATCTCACCTTTCTTCTCGATCTTAGTAAAAAAAAAAAATCTCTCACTTCTTTATGGATGTTTTTAAAAGATGCACTGGATCATCATCATAATCATTTTCATCCTCACCTTTTGCCAAATGTAGTTTTTGTTGTGAAAAGGGGCATTTTATCCCGTTTTTTTTTTCTTTGTTTGCTTTTCGTTCTTTTTTTTATACTTTGTCCATGACTCTTCCATTGTGTTGGTGAAAAAAAATGAGGAAGAAGTTGGAACAAAAAGTGAAAGACACAAAAAGACCAACTCAAGGCAGCTACATATGAGTGACTACTGTAAAATGACTAACTAATAAAGAAGCAATGGGTTTGTTTTTACATACTGTGAGTCTGTTTATTCATTACAAAATAATGTAACTCCTGCACATATCACACACAAAATCTGGGACCTTTAGGTCGATAGGTGTTTATGTGGAGATGTTAAACCAGTCAGGGAGTAGCTCATAGCCTAAAACCTGACTTTTTGCTTCAGGATGGAGCAGATTGAGGAATGTGCAGCAGAGTTAAAAGCGACTTAGTGTAGTGGAGAAACATGCAAATGTGAAGACTTGACACAGCCAGGATATTTGACATGTTTTTTTAGATATTTAACTTCAAGTAAAATTCAAAACACTGTAAAAAATAATATTAATGTTTTTATCTCAAAGCTCAACATACTCATTATGTTGGATAATTATTTGAAAATATTGTGTGACTTATCAATTCGTATGATCATCACTTGAGGTTTCAGCTGATAAAGATGGAACTCATTATATTTAGTGGGGAAAGATTAATGAAAAACAGTTCTTCAAACTACACACACAGCTGAGTATACACGGCTTCATCCGTCTTCATTGAAATTCTGCTCACTGAATAATGCATCAATAATAATCAGATAATTCTAATTACAACAAAGTATAAAATCCATCATATGGGCCTCTGGAAGTTTGCTTTTAAGAGTATGCACTTTTTTCTTTGGACAAATATGTTTAGGAGCTTCACTTGTGTTTTAAAAAAAAAAAAATCAGACTTAACTTTATGTTTTGACAAGCAGGTACCATAGGCAGGTACACGCATGCGAAGGGGGCACCACGCCACAGAGGTGCACACGGGCCCACGCGGGGAAAGGAGTGTACTGGGGCGTTCAGGTAAGTCTCGTACATTTGACCGTCACAATTTGAACTCACTGTATTTCAAAATTGTGTTTAGTTATAGTCTTGCTGTCAAATTGAAAGCTGTGAGTGAGATAAAATGTGTCTATAAACAAACATTGTGTAGCAAATGACCCAAATTTACTTTTAGGCTGTTAGCTCTTAACTTAGCAGCTTAACAAAATGTATTTATTTATTTGTTTGTTTATTTAACATGGATATACAGTAACATTGGTGCTGTAACATTTAACCATGCACAAGTTCCAGATGCACTGCTCTTAGTGTTTATAGCAAAATGCTAATTTGCAACACCTTTCCACAGGAGGCTTTTTAGAAACAACAGAGATAAAGATAAAAAGGTAAGAAAAAAAAAGAGTTCAGTTATAAATACAGTGTAGTTATGAATGCAACAGGGATAAAATACACTTACAGAGAGAAAAATATACAAGCTCATGTACGTTTACGTGTGAGAACAATGTTGTTTCTCCTTCAGCCATGATTTAATACCTTTGTTAAAAACATTTAAACTGTGTAGCATTTTCAGTTCAGTGGGTAGACAATTCCAATGTATAAGCACATTTTGAGTTTAAACAAAGTCTATATTTACTGACTTGATCGGTGGTCTTAAAATGATTCTACATGAAGTCTGCAGTGAAGTACAATTATAACTATTTTTTAAAATGTATTTATTTAATAGGGACAATGCAATTTAACATAATTTCAATACAAAGCATGAAACTGATGTGCTGCATAAAGAGTATAGAGCTATTGCTAATTTCCAACTCGTGTCCCCAGTTGGTCCTTTGTGTAAACAAACAGATTAAAGTGTACAACATTCAGTTACATAAAACCCCATAACACGATATGAGGATACATTAAAATACATGTACAACAATGCAAATGCTATAAACCAGTTATAAATGAAGTTTAAAGATACTATTTAAAAGTGGGTACAGCTCTGGCTTGCTTTCAGCAAGATTTTAAGTCCGAGATTAATTTTATTTCAGGTGTTTAATGTGTTTCCAGAGTTTACAGCCTGATGGAGAAGGCTGATTGACCAAACGTAGATCTACGACAGGGATGGGCAACTTTGGTCCCAGCAAGGGCCACATTCATTTAATTCTCACTGCCAGAGGGCCAAATTGTAGTATACAAAAACAATTACAGTCAATTTTTTCTCCAATTTAACTCAACATATACCAGTGATTAAATATTATTATGGACATTCTTCTGGTTTTCATGATTTCATGGCATATTTAGTCATGTTTTCTTCATGTTTCCAATTAATTGATATGTAAAAAGTGACCTGAGGGTTAAGGGTTGATGGGGGCCGCCAGTTGCCCACCCCTGATCTACGATGTTGTACGCTACAGTTTCCATTCACAGTGCTTCTCGTTACCCTGTTTCCGTCCCCGTCCTTCAGGGACCAGATTGTTGATACATTTAAAAACAAGTTTGAGGAAACATAGAATAGAATAGAATTACTTTATTGATCCCAAACTGGGAAATTGTGGCGTTACAGCAGCAGGTTATCCAAACACACAATATGAGTAAAAAAAACACAATGTCAGCAAATCTAAACATAATATAATATTAACTACAAAGTAAATAAGTTCTAAAAGATATCAAAAATAAGAATGTGAATATATACCACCAGGATTTCACTAAGCATTACTAGTCTTAAACAGGAAGATTAAATATGGAAGATTAAATGTAAATGTGCAAAAACAGAGTCGTAGATGGTTATAAATAAAAAAAAGTTTGAGGAAACACAAACGCATAAAGCTCTCAAAACTGAGTACATTGTGTTTTTTTCAGTATGTGACAGCGATGCCACCGGACAGGGGTTTTTTGTCCATTATTTACAGGGCTTAGTTGTGAGAGGTTTCTGATTGTAGAGGGTGAAGCTTGTGACCAAAACTGTCTTTGACATGAGTCCACAATACAGTTTGATATATGATATAGCCTGAGTATCAAACTGTATTGTGAGCTCATGTTTTTTGTATGGGTGGGATATGTTTGTAAACATGTGTTGCGTTGTGTGTTTGTATGTATGCTGATTGCTGGAACACCTAAATTTCCCTGCTGGGATGAATAAAGTATATCTTTTATCTTATATTGCGCACAAATACACCACAAGTCGTTACATTTCGGACACCCCGTGAAGGCACCACGTCGCCCCACCCCTCCCCTTGTCGTCACAGTGCGTGATATCCTTCCGCGGGAGAGAAACGCGCGGCCCCTTTTCCCTCCCGACAAACACAGGATGCGAACGGGCGGCGGAGAAGCTACGAGACGTTACTCCTCTGCTGCGCCACGGCCGTTGATATTCCCCCGCAGCATCCGAGTGTAAAAAAAAACAACAACACGGAAGCCAGTATCAGGGTTGGGGGGGTAAAACTAAAAACTAAAAACACCTCTTTTTTTTTTTTTTAACCACTCGTCTTGAACCCGCCATCGACTGAGCTCCGCGGAGGAAATATAATCCCGCTGTGGTGTTCGCTGCGCGGCAACCGAAACTATCGACGCGACAGAGAGAGAGCGAGAGAGAGAGAGAAGCCGGCGGTACGGAATGGAGCTCATCACTATTCTCGAGAAAACGGTCTCTCCAGGTAAACACCACCTCCGGGGACTTGACAATTCACAACAAGGGGGGTTTTGAGGCTGTGTTTCGCGGTGTGTGTGGGGTGCGGTGGTGGTGGGGGGGTTAAAGCGGCTGTGTGAGCTCCGGTGAGCCGGTGAAAGTTTGAAGACGGGGAGGAGGGAAATAGCCTCGCTAGCCGGGGTGTTAGCTCCTAATGCTAACCCAGCTTAAAAAAAAAAACCCGGCCTCAGTCACTGCACGTAACGCTGCTGACTTTGCCCTCCAACAGGCGATTAAATACGATTCTCTTGTGGAAATTAACCGCCAGATATGTAGACATTATCTCTTAATACGATGTCATATTTTTTAAAATGCAAAAAGGTGGATGGCGGGGGGAGGCTAATCTAACACCCGTATGTAGCCGGTTAGCAGAGCCGACCCTGCCCATGCCTGACTTAGCAACCTATGCTAACGTGTTAGCTCGTATCATTCAAACTATCGGCCGCTTCTTCTTCTTCTTCCTGTCGCTGCTAAACTATCCACTTCACGGCCATTCACGACACACACAACGTCCCCGTGATGTCGCGTTAGTCGCACACCACCGAGTTAACGACTCTTTATCCGGTTCAGTGTTTCTCAGGAAAACTTTTATTTCTGTCACTTTCAAACGTGTCCCTGTGGCTGGCTAACAGTTAGCATGCTAACCCCCCCCCACCCCACACCCCGGTGGTCTCCTGCTGCTGTAAGCACGTTGGAGGAGTTGGAGCCTCCGCCGTGCTCACTTGGTTTGCAGACCCCCTCCCCTCCTTCTGGTACCATGAGTGATTTAACTGTTTTTATAAGGGAAGATTGAAGGTAACACTTTCAGGGCTTGCTGCCAAACCCACGTTTCCCTCCCTCAATCCGGGTTATTGCTGATAACTGCACCTTCCTACAGATGTCGTGCGTTAGCATTCTGTCAGCTAATGTGCTAACGTTAACATTGAATAACCCATCTCTCCCCTCCCTCCTCTTTCCACTTTCTCTGCAGATCGGAATGAACTAGAGGCAGCACAGAAGTTTCTGGAGCAGGCGGCTATAGAGAACCTGGTTAGTATGGTGGTGGTGGTGTTTTTTTTTTTTTATGGTGCTGGTGTGTTGGGGGGGTCAATGTGCAGGGCGGAGGGAGGGAAGCTAACTGCCCTGCTGCTACAGACTGGATGGAGCAGAGAGGAGCTCAGGACAGCTGGAGCCCGCCCGGCTTCTCCTCTGCTGCCCCCCCTCCTCCCTCTCCTCCTCTTCCTCTTCCTCCCTCCCCATTCTCTAACACGCACACATTCACACAAACAGGCAGAGACAGCTACACCCATCTGATGTGGGGAAAGGCTGCAGATCATCAAAAGTGATAATATCGACGGTGTCATTTAAAGTTTATTTCACCCTATATGTACCATCCAGTGACTTTTACCTGCAGTGCTTCTCTCAGATTTGTTTCAGACTGCCTCAGTAAAATGAAGCAGAAAATATAGTTTAACATTTATTCAAAGGTTCCATATTCTGCTTTTTCTGGTTTTATATGCTCTTTAGTGTGTTTTCCAAGTGTCCTGTGCATGTTTAGACACATCTATGTGCAAAAATTCAAAGTCCTCGGAAACGCGGCTTCTCCTACGTCCTCCTGTTAGCTGTAGCATTAGCTGCATGTAGCGCTCGGTTCTAGCCCCCCTCGATAAAAATGTGTCAGTGCGGCGTCATTGTCAGTGTGAGATCACTGATCTAAGCCCATTGGCTCGTTGTGGCAAGCCCTGCAATGACAGAGCGGATCGGCAGACCAATCAGAGCAGACTTGGCCCACGTGGGGTCTAACAGTGTGGGCTCAACAGAGTGTAGCTGACGGACTCAGAGCGTAGAGGGAGCAAGGAGGAGCAGTACATGAAAACAGACACTTTTTTAGAACTTTAGCTATTGTGAACGTACAAAAGTAGGAACATAGATTAAATATACAAACCCCAAAAAGGGCAGAATATGGGCTCTTTTAAAAAGCAACATATATATACACCTATACCTCTGTCACAGGGCTGCAAACAATGATTATTCTCAGTGTCAAAATGTACATTATATCTACATTTAGAAACTCAAAATATGTACATAAGAACTTTGGTAAATTCATGATTACTTTTCAGGAAATACTAAGGGCCCTTTGTGTTTCAGAAAATGAGGCATTTATGGCATTTCTTCTGATAAACATTAATCAAAATTTACTGCATTTTGACCATTAGACCAAAATATAATCAAATTTGGAGGACACAATGAACATGTTGTTTCTTCCTCTGATGTCATTGACTTGTTGCTACATCATGACTACAAGGAAGAATCAAATCTGCATTCTGACTCATCACTTGTTTAAAGGTTAGGATTTCTTCTGTTTTCTTTTGAGTTATTACCAGCAGCTGAATAAGCTGCTTGGTATTTTCCTCTTAAAACCAATGGAACATGTAATTAAAACAAGTAACACAAAAAAAATAGTGATTTCGTGAGTACATAAGTGTTTCTCCAGTGCTCTCGAGCAGGGCTTACAGGATTGTGAGCTGATGCTAACTTTTGCTAGACCTAGGACTTCCTCCAAGGACTAAAAACCCATATCCATTCAAATTATATAGTTGTGACTTGAAACTTGCAGAACTCCCTGGTAATGATTAAAAGTTTGGCCCAAAGGTGGTGCTTGTGGGAAAACCATAAAGTTGCGTGTGACAGGTAAGACAGGTCAAAAGGTCAAACTTCTCTAGATTGAATAGGGAGTTTAGTTTACCCTCAAAGAGTAATCGATTTACGAGCATCAGCGGAGTGTGGTAAACCGGTACCCGTAACATCACCTCTGCCAAGACATGGATTTTGGCCTTACTGTCATCACAAGTTTAACCCAACAGTTGGTTTTAGAGCACATAACAAGGCATTACTGATTGCTCATCCTACCGACCACATAACTTGTAAATAAAAGTAGCGTTAAAGTTCCCCCAATCTTCTGCATTTTTCACTTTAGCACTAGGACCAGAGGCAGCTGGTCACTGCTCAAAGGGCTCCCCCTTTTTTGTGTCATTTTTAACAATACAAATGAAATGTTGCACAGCAATCAGGTAAACTTGTAGTCTCCCCTCTCCAAGTTTCAACAAATAACACAGCATTAAGTGGGTGTGTTCACCTGCATCGTGTCTTTTTTTTGTATGTGTGGAGCTTTGACATGAGCTACATGCTGGAACGGATTTGTAACTCTCCTACAACAGGTCTTCCTGCTTAAAGTTGTTTAAAATAATGCTGTGCTTGTATTAAGTCCATGTGGATTAAAAGAAGGGGCTGTGGCTCTGACTCTTGGTGAAAGGAGCGGCTCTAAAGACTAAAACTATTGACACTGTTGTAGAAAATCGCTGTAATTGTAGTTCAGTTAAAGCTTGAATGATTCAACACATTTCCACCGAGTCTTTCAAGATAAAAGCCCTCACTTTTCAAGCGTTAGAGATGCTTTTATGATTAAGTCATATCAGGAAATGCGGTGTTGTCGGAAGCAGCTTAACACAAACTCTGCAGGTGAGAAATGAAACTTAAAACCACACAGATTTAGTATGAAGCTGCTGAGATGTAAAAGAAGAACGGCTTTCCTCTAAACATCGTTTCCACTCATAGATGTTACGACTGCTTTGACGGTGGCTCGTGCTGCTGCTTGTCATACACCATCAGATCATGGGAGCCTTCTCTTTTCACAAAACTTGATGGTAGCATTTATATCTTAAGTCACCATTTTCAATATTAGCAGGCTAATCTTCTCCACTCCGCTATCATCACAAACATGTGTGCTGAAAAGGGCTAGTATATGATGTGACACAAGATGGCCTGTTGCCTGTCTTTGCTGGTTTCCCCTTGTGCTTTAAGCGCACATGGTTAAGAATTGAAGTGGCATTTGTTTGATATGCTAGTTTAACCCCACCTACTTTTACTGCATTGTTTTTTTTTTTAAAGTACTTGCAGACATCTCTTTTCCTGGTCACAGCTGACATGTTGCATCCAACGCTTGCTGAGTTGAACTATTGTTGTAGCCTGAAACAACACAGGAGCATGTGTACAAATAGTGAAACGATATTGTCCTGTGACATCAACGGCGACGTCATCACTCACGCAATAGCACCCGTCTCTAATCGACAGTAACAGGTGATGGCACAACCAACATCAACATGGAGAGTTATGGAGAAAAAGCTCCAGGCTACATTCGCTGCTACTATTTCACATAGGGTGCGCTCGAATTGTCCCTCCTATCTCCTTTCACTATCCACTTTACCTTAATCCAGGAAGCATTTAAGTGGCGGCCATGATAAGAGCCGTTCGAATTCTCTAAAAGTTAAGGAAAGGTGGGTCAGTGCTTCCTTTATAACCTCCTTTAGCATAGGATACACCGGACCATCCTTTACCAAAGGACATGAGATATGACGCCTCACAATTCCTTGCGGCCGCAACATTTTAAAGCGACTCGCGCATCCGACCGTTCACGAGCATTAACGATTACAGAAAAGGGACGGAGATCATGTAAGTTACCATTTGCAATAATATGCCTTGAACAACTTTCAATCTTTAACCCTTAGGTGAACTCTGAACATTATGCTGATGTTGTAAAACGATCCAAGTGAGTTTAACTTTTATTGCAGCCTATGCTCAGTTTGTATTTGTTATTTATCCACTTTGAGTGTTTTGACAGCCGTAAGCGATATCATAAAGTTAAACTTTCCTTCAGTCACAGATGCTGAAACCCTCGCCTTGATTAAGGTTCTTGAGATATTATGCAAAGCCATATAATCAGATTATAATCACCTTAAAAAAACATCACCCTGTCTTTCAGGTAAAAAGGGATCAGAGACATTTTGAGCCAGATGATGTTTTATTCAACATATTTCATTCAATTCAGAATGTTTTGTGCATTTCTTCAGTTGTATATTCTTGTCTTGCATAAATGTAACAATTAATTTCATATTTAGTTTAATGTTGATTTCTGAGTGGACAGGAAGCTGATGGTTTCACTTCAGTACCTGTAGCCTGGTGATATTGCTTTTATTTCAATCCCAACCTTGTGGTGATTAAGATTATTTCACCGGTAAGAAGGCACAGGGGAAAAAAAAAATTTGGATGCGTTTTTTGTAGTCCATTTGTAGTTTAAACACGACGGACCCACGTCATTAACCTCCGCCGACCCGTCACATTTAATTTCGTGGCCTAGTGGAAAATGCGGTCGGATTGTCAGAGCAACGAGATCGCCTTTCCTTAACTCCTTTATGAATTCTCCTAACATCTTTCCTTAACCTCATGACGTTTACCCCGGGGTTAAGGTAAAAAAGGTTAGTGAGAGGAGATAGGAGGGACAATTCAAACGCACCCATACCCTCCATTGGCCCAAGTGCATTGTGGGATACACTGGATACAGGTTTTGACAAGGAAATGTATTACTTGTCCTGCAGTCTTGATATGGTCCATTGTAAGCCTGTTGTCAGGAGTGTGGTGATCATGTGTTTAACATGAAGCCTCAGACACTGGGAAATTTAGATTACATGGCAGATGTTGTCTGTCCAATCATGAAGCAGCGAGTTTCAGCAGGAAGATGAGATGGAAAATGTATATAACACAGATCTGAAAATGTAAAGTTGTTTAATAGAGAAAGAAGGGGTATTAGTCAGTGCTGTGTGTTTATTTCAGTGCATGTGTGGTGTTGGTGTGAAGAGCTCTTCTGTCAGACTGACGCGGGTGCAGAGGACGATGTTGATGGTCGGACGTGGGGGGGGAACTCCTCTTTTCTGTTGTCAGTGTTGTGCAGAGTCATGGTGAAACAGAGAGCATGATGGGACATTCACTGTGATGATGCAGCACTCTGTCCTCTATGTGGATAATCTCAGCAATATTGATCCAAGTTGAAAGCAGACTCTTGCAGTATGATTGAAGAAAGGTTTTATCCATGATTATGATATAAATTATACATCATGAATCTGACCAATGAGGTCATAAATGCATCCAGGAAGTGAGTCGCTATAAAAACAGCTCTTATCTTAAAGCAGCCACAAACAGAATGGACTTTCCTACAACTGTTTGTCTAATGATCCGAGGCTTCAGATCAGTCTGCACCAATAGTGGAGGAAAAAATACATTTTGATGCATGAATTAATTCTGCATCAACATCTGTTACAGTAAATGATCTACGTTCTCCACTTTGACACAGAATTCCTTGAGAAATATAAAAATCTTGAACATGAGTCGTGGAAACATCAATTTATCCACCACTAGTGTGTGTTTGGTCGATGAAGAGAAATCATGCACCACTCTGACAGTGTGATGGATAACCAACCACAACATCTGAGACCGACACATCCAAAACTGCCATTTAGGTTTTTTATTAAATACAGTTTGTCAATGGCAACTATTCACTGCTGTCCCACCAATGACATGTTGATTTTTCCAAAACCTCTGATTTCAATAAGGAGAGTTAGTTAACATCAAATGTAAGCACTTTTAACCATATTTTTGTTGATGCTGTTCAAATGAAATTGAATATAATTTTGTTGTCTCTTGGTTTTTTTTTTTTTTTTTCTTCCTCAAACCGTTTTTCTGGAGAAGTTTTTTCTAATTCATAGTTGACATCAAACACAGCTACCCTCTTCTACAGGGAAATGTACATGTCCAGGTTAACATTTCTCTGAGCACTTTAAAGATGTTTTTTTTTCCAAAAGCAAAGCTGTTCATGAGTCTAAATCCAGTTTACAGGTTTTCATGCCTCGTTCTGCTCACTAGCGAGTTTTAAAATCTCAAACCAGCAGGAGTAACGCTCTCTAATTTGATTTTGAGTAACTCCCAAAGTCACAGAAAAGAGATTCTAACCGGTGTTTCTGCTGTTGTCTCATCCGTCTTCCCCCACAGCCAACATTCCTGGTCGAGTTGTCTAAAGTGTTGGCGAACCCGGGGAACACTCAGGTTGCTCGAGTTGCTGCAGGTCTACAGGTGAAGAATTCCCTGACCTCCAAAGACCCCGACGTAAAGACACAGTACCAGCAAAGATGGCTGGCCATCGACGCCAACGCTCGCCGCGAGATCAAGAACTACGTAAGACCCTGAACTCACCCACACACGCCTTTTTTTTATTTATGAGATTTGTATATCTAACGCCCCTGTGTCCCTGCAGGTTTTACAGACTCTGGGTACGGAGACATACCGGCCCAGCTCGGCGTCGCAGTGCGTCGCCGGGATCGCCTGCGCAGAGATTCCCGTTAACCAGTGGCCTGAGCTGATCCCACAGCTGGTTGCAAACGTCACTGACCCCTCAAGCACTGAACACATGAAGGAATCCACGCTGGAGGCCATCGGCTATATCTGCCAGGACATAGTGAGTGATCACACACACACACACACACACACACACACACACACACACACACACACACACACACACACACACACACACACACACACACACACACACACACACACACACACACACGATAAGATTTAGTTTAAAATGTCAGGAAACTTGAGCTGACAGACTAACAGAAAATGTCGACAAGAAGAGTTCAGGAGATGATTTAAAGATATATTCTCGATTTTCTTAAAGTCATAACTTGAACATGAGTCGTGGAAACATTTATTTATCCACCACTAGTGTGTGTTTGGTCGATGAAGAGAAATCATGCACCACTCTGACAGTGTGATGGATAACCAACCACAACATCTGAGACCGACACATCCAAAACTACAATATAGTTTTTTTATTTTTTTATTAATGACTTGTCAATGGCAACTATTTCCTACTGTCCGGCCAATGACATGTTGAGTTTTCCAAACTGAGCAGGGATGTGATTGTTTCTCCTTTTTTCTTGTCTGTAACAATAGACTTTATGCGAGCCAATCAGAGCTCTGATAATAAAACATTTTTCCTCCAGGACCCGGAACAACTGCAGGAGAACGCCAACCAGATCCTAACGGCCATCATCCAGGGCATGAGGAAGGAGGAGCCCAGCAACAACGTAAAGCTGGCCGCTACCAACGCCCTGCTTAACTCTCTTGAGTTTACCAGAGCCAATTTTGACAAGGAGGTAAACTCTCTCTCTCACACACTACAGTTGTCACAATACCACAAAACCACCATATTTGACATTCTGTAAAAAGTAATTAAAGAAATATTCGGTAGGATTTTCTCCTCAGATATTGTAGTGTGCTCTGTCCTGCTCTGTCCCGCAGGTTGTTGAAGAGGTATTGATGTTACGATGATTAATTTGATTATTACATCACAACTGCTGTGAAACAATCTGCCTCTCAGACACTGCTGCTGTTTTACTTGGGATTAAACTCTGATGGTGGATCTATTTATAAAAAATGTTTTAGAGAGTAATCATTGTTACTTTTTGCCAATATTCAATGTGAATGAGGGTGTTATTTTTGATACTTGTGCTTTTGATAACCATACCAAACAGCCTGCTTATTGTGAAACAAGTCCTAAACATATTATCGCTGTGTTTCAGACGGAGAGACACTTCATCATGCAGGTGGTGTGTGAAGCCACACAGTGTCCCGACACCAGAGTAAGTGATTTAACTATTGGACAAACAAAGTGATTCAAGGCTTTACTTAAGATTTCCCTGTCTCCTCTGGATGTTGTTCAACATGTGATTTGTGTGTTCAGGTACGTGTGGCGGCTTTACAGAACCTGGTGAAGATCATGTCTCTGTATTATCAGTACATGGAGACATACATGGGTCCAGCTCTTTTCGCGGTAAGGTCTGCCTGTCTCTCGTGGCTGTTTTTAATAAGAGTCATTAAATATGTCACACAATTTAAAGTCTTTTTGTTGAATCTACACAAATTAAAAATACTTTTGATTTAGGTTTGTTTTTGCTTGAAGTGAAGCCAAAATGTTTTAACCTGCAGTACTGAGGGTTCAAATAAGTCTGCTGATTTAAATGTGCATGTTTTCAGCAGCGCCTCTCTTCTTACTTTTTCTTCTGTTCCTCCTCCTCTCAGATCACCATTGAGGCGATGAAAAGCGACATCGATGAGGTGGCTCTACAGGGAATCGAGTTCTGGTCCAACGTCTGTGACGAGGAGATGGACCTGGCCATCGAGGCCTCAGAGGTCCGTGTCTGCTGACTCCATCACGTTCGACACGTTTTGCACTCGTATTTGTAAATATTATGTGACTGTGTTTGATTGGTCTTGTCCAATTGCAGGCCTCGGAGCAGGGACGCCCGCCAGAGCACACCAGTAAATTCTATGCTAAAGGAGCCCTGCAGTACCTGGTCCCCATCCTGACCCAGACTCTCACCAAGCAGGTAACACACCTAAGATAAGATGACGTAGGACTGTATTCATCCTGAAGGGAATTCAGTTACTTGGACTTGGAAAGTTTGCACAATTAGCTGCACCACACACACACAACCATCCTGCATATCATGAACACACACATGAAGTCATGCTGTGTTCTAATGTGCAGGACGAGAACGACGATGACGACGACTGGAACCCGTGTAAGGCAGCCGGCGTGTGTCTGATGCTTCTTGCCACTTGCTGCGAGGACGACGTGGTTCCTCACGTTCTGCCCTTCATCAAAGAACACATCAAAAACCCCGACTGGCGCTACAGAGACGCCTCAGTCATGGCCTTCGGATCCATCCTGGAGGGACCTGAACTCAACCAGCTGAAACCGCTCGTCGTACAGGTCGGTCATTTAAAAATAAAAACTAGTCATACAGGAAGGAGGAGATGTGTACACGGAGCCTATCACTTTCATCATTAGTAATTTAACGGCCAGAAATAATTAATTATCAGTATAAACACCACAGTTAAAAAGAACAAAACCAGACTGATTTCAATTCACTTCAGTTCAAATGACCAAATAAGTCTGCAAGGTAATGCAGAAATTCACTGACTAGTTAAACCCAGTCTTCATACTGGTTGGAAATTAGACTCTGCAGACACTCCCCTCTGAGTATGTTTCTTGCCCCCCCCTCTCTGCAGGCGATGCCGACCCTGATCGAGCTCATGAAGGACCCCAGCGTGGTGGTGAGGGACACCACAGCGTGGACAGTGGGGAGGATTTGCGAGCTGCTGCCTGAAGCTGCCATCAACGACCTGTACCTGGCCCCTCTGCTGCAGTGCCTGATCGAGGGTCTGGGGGCCGAGCCCAGAGTCGCCTCCAACGTGTGCTGGGTGAGCGCCGGGTGCTATGATGGGCTCTACTTTTTTTACTAATCTTCTCTTAAAGTCCATTGGTTTGAAGTTCTTGTTGTGGCCAAACACTGTGGTGGAGTGTTTTTTTGTGGCTCGTTAAAGTGTTTGAAAGTAACATCAGAAAGAGTTTTCCTTCATTTTGAGACTGAGCACAAACAGAAGTTAAATTTGAAGCTTGAGCCAAAGGCAACTGAACTGATTGAAGATCTTTAAGACACCTTGGAACATGTGACTCAAACGACATGCAGACGACTGGGAGTGGTAACGACTTCAGGTGAAACTCGAATAACGACTCTTAAGGGAGGCATCCTTGATCATCAGCGTGCTAATGACCCACATAGGCTTAAATTTCTAGCTCCGTCCACCAGATGTTTTAGAACTGCAGAAGTCTTTTGGAGGAGAGGTGGAATGTCTTCAAGATCTTCAACCAGTCCAGTATCCTTTGGATCAAGCTTCAAATGTACCATGACCTGGATGACTGAGAATCTACACAGACAGCATCACTTACAGTTGAAAGAGCTGAATGGACTTCTGTTTTTGTGTCCGTCAGGCTTTCTCCTCGCTGGCTGAAGCTGCGTATGAAGCAACAGACGCTGCTGAAGACCAGGAGGAGCCGAGCACTTACTGCCTGTCTTCCTCATTTGAGATCATCGTCCAGAAACTACTCGAGACCACAGACCGGTAGAGAAACAAGTTCTGTTATTTGAAGGGAATTTTTAGATTTTGGGGCCAAGGATAAGATTTTTGGTCTGTTTGCTAAACCAAAGCGGGGACGTTTAAACACACTGTTTTAGTCTGCGCTTTTACACACAAAACTGAGAAGGTCCAGATGGTCATAAATTCATAACATTTGACCAATCATATAGAGATGAAGCTAGCCTTATGCTACTGTCTGCCTAACTGAATAAAGCTGTAAGAGGCGAGCACAGTTAGCATGTCATTTTACCATTTTTTTTCCCCACCAGCTATGAAATAGTGAAACTGATTATTTTCTACCACTAAACAGAAAAAATTAAGACATTACACCTGTCTGTGCTCTTTAACTCTGCAGAGGGTTTCATTATATTATAGGGTTTCACCCTGTCTCTCTCTCTCTGCTATGAATGTGTGTGTGTGTGTTTGGTCTGTGATGATAAACATGCACCACGCTGAAGTGTGATGTGAAAACCAACCACATTAATCTGAGACCTGACGTTCTGTCTTAACCTGCATGCTTCTGTCTTCAAAAATTGTCTTTTTCTATTTGTACATCGTTGTCGAGCTGTGCTAACATGTAGCGTCTGGGCTAACGCGTCTCTGAGCTTTACGCCTTTAAATCCATTTCAATGTAAAGCTTGTCTTTGAGTACCCGGTCCTAATGATGCGTTTCCTGCTCAGGCCCGATGGTCATCAAAACAATCTGCGCTCTGCTGCCTATGAGGCTCTGATGGAGATTGTGAAGAACAGCGCCAAGGACTGTTACCCAGCCGTGCAGAAAACTACGCTGGTCATCATGGAGAGGCTGCAGCAGGTCCTGCAGATGGAGGTGAGACAGGAGGGGGCAGTAGAGAGTGGGACAGATCATTACTTCACTTTCACATTCCTTTTTGCAGACTTTGTGAAAGTTGCAAAACTCTGTAAATTTGTGGAACATTGCTATAAAGAATATGTTCCCTATGGTTATAGAGTGTTTTTATATGCATTTCGAAAGAATAAGATAATATATGTTAAATTAAAATAGAGAAGTTACTTTCCTGTGGTTTCCGATGATTAGTCTTTTGTAGATTTTCCATTACATTTGAACTGTATCAGCTTTAAATAAATAAATAAAAACAATGTTTACTTGATCATAATGATGTCACTCCCTGTGTCTCCAGTCTCACATCCAGAGCACCTCAGACAGAATCCAGTTCAACGACTTGCAGTCGCTGCTGTGTGCCACTCTACAGGTTAGACACCCTGAGCTGTCAATCAAAACAGATTCCACCTCTGCCTGGTGTTTGTGCTCTAGCGTGACAGTTTCACCTCCTCCTTGTTGCAGAATGTCCTCCGTAAGGTGCAGCATCAGGACGCCCTGCAGATCTCGGACGTGGTCATGGCGTCTCTGCTGCGGATGTTTCAGAGCACAGCTGGGTCTGGAGGCGTTCAGGAGGACGCTCTCATGGCCGTTTCCACGCTGGTCGAAGGTACACATTTTAAACAAACATGCATGCGCACACAATGCCATCAGACCAGCACAGACGGTGTGTGTGTGTCACAGGGAGGCTGAAGTCCTTGTATCGTTTTGTGTTTCAGTTCTGGGCAGCGACTTTCAGAAGTACATGGAGCCCTTCAAGCCTTTCCTGGGAATCGGACTGAAGAACTACGCCGAGTATCAGGTGAGTCTTGACTATTAAAGTCATTGTTACTTTCTGTGTTCTGTTTGTGGATAATTCATCTGATCCAGGCTTTACATTCACGCATAAAAAAAAAAACGGCTTTGCACGGAAAAAACACAACATATTTTCATCTAAACAAAGATTATGGTTTAAACTCCTAATTCAGGTTTGAACTACAAATCTCATTCACAACCATACATCCTGCTTCCCCTCTCATCACCCTGCTTGACTGCTTTATGCATTTTGGTCAATTTAGAGAGCAGAAAAGAAATAAATAGTTGTGCAGTCACAGATTGTTAGAAGTCTGCTTTAAATTATGATCTGCAGTGAATAAACAGAATGTCTCATAATATTGTACTTTATCTCAGCAATATGCATGAAATGAAATGCACTGTAGATATTTAGATTCTAAAAAGTGGGACATGTTGAGACCTTTCAGTAAGTCATCTGAATATTAAAACACAATTGAAAGGAAAACGTGGATACATTGTTGATGTTTGTGTTTTCAGGTGTGTCTGGCAGCTGTCGGTCTGGTGTGCGACCTGTGCAGAGCTCTGATGTCAAACATCCTGCCTTACTGTGACGAGATCATGCAGCTGCTGCTGGAGAACCTCGGGGTGAGGAAGACTAGGGAGTCCTGTCTCATTGTCGCTGTCTCTCTTTACACACTCTCCCCCTGTCTCTCTCTCTCTCTTCACTATGAACGTGTGTGTGTGTTTGGTCTGTGATGATAAACATGCACCACGCTGAAAGTGTGATGTAAAACACCAACCACATTAATCTGAGACCTGACGTTCTGTCTTTACCTGCATGCTTCTGTCTTCAAAAATTGTCTTTTACTTTTTGTACATTGTTGTCGAGCTGTGCTAACGTGTCTCTGTCCGTGTTCAGAATGAGAATGTCCATCGGTCGGTGAAGCCCCAGATCCTCTCTGCGTTCGGTGACATCGCCCTGGCCATCGGAGGAGAGTTTAAGAAATACTTGGACATCGTCCTGGACACCCTGCAGCAGGCATCACAGGCACAGGTTGACAAGGTAAACACACACAAACAGGTCATTAAGGTCAATCTATGGGATTAAATATCATCTAAGGTATTAGCACATTTATATTCTTGCTGACACCTGATGCTCCATGTTAGGCTGTATCTGAAGCCAGTACCAATGCTCAAGTCTTATTGGCTTTGCAAGCGGAGTATTACTTCATCAGACGGTTTTGTTTTCTCTGTTTGCAGACGGACTACGACATGGTGGACTATCTTAACGAGTTGAGGGAGGGCTGTCTGGAGGCGTACACTGGGATCATCCAGGGCCTGAAGGGGGACCAAGAGAACGTGCACCGTAAGTACACACACACACTTGCACACACAGTGTCATGTGACGTCGGTTCCTCCTCCTGTCTGAAGTCCTTCAGGAGGATTTTACGACGTCACAGAGAAACGGGTCTTTTTCACCCAGAGAGCTTCAGCTGCACCCCAGCGCAATCAAAGCTTCCTGGTTTTGCAAGACCCGACAAATAAATAAAAACGTGCTAATTATAATACAATATTGAAAAAAAAAATGTATAAATGTAACTACACAAAATGCCATTTTCTCTCCTTCTTATCCTCTGTTCTTCTTCCTCACCTCTTTTTCTTTCTCACCTATTTCCATGTCCACCTGCTGGTCCCTCTTTTTTTATATTCATCTTCTGTTGTTTGTAACTTCTTGTCCTCCTCTCTCCTATCTGTAGCTGATGTGATGTTGGTTCAGCCTCGGGTAGAGTTCATCCTCTCCTTCATCCACCACATAGCCGAGGATGAGGATCACTCTGATGGAGTCGTGGCAAACGCTGCAGGACTCATCGGGTAAGGATGGAAGGGAAAGTGGGGAGAGAGTGGATTGACAGATTTGGTGTGTGTGTGTTCGGTCTGTGAAGAGAAATCATGCACCACTCTGAAAGTGTGATGTTATACCAACCACAACATCTGAGACCGACACAAAAATGAAACTGGATCTAGTGATCACTGGTTTCCTGGAAATTTAGAAGTTATCCAGATGAATGATATCTTGTGGCCAGTCTGGTTTTGTTTGAATATGAAACTTTTCTTTAAGCATTACTTTGCCTCCACCTACAGTATATCAAATGTTAAACTGCCAATTTCAGCAGATTTCAGGTATTTGCACTCAGCAGAGCATGAACTGACCCGTTGTTGACTAAGACGATCGAGACGTTAACATTTGTTTTTCTCTTCATTTTAGATCGTGGTGAAAATAATCTTTTGTTGATTTTCTTATATTTTTTTCTGTGTCTTCAGCGATCTGTGCACGGCGTTTGGTAAAGATGTAATGAAGCTGGTGGAGGTTCGTCCGCTCATCAACGACCTGCTGACAGAGGGTCGACGCTCCAAAACCACCAAGACCAAGACGCTGGCCACATGGCCACCAAGGAGCTCCGCAAGCTCAAGAGCCAGGCCTGGTATGATCAAACACACACTTACCTAAAAAACTAGAAAACTGTACGTAGCCAAGTATGGAAACTTTAGTGTTTTATTTGGTCTATGAAGAGAAATCATGCACCACTCTGACAGTGTGATGTACAATCAACCACGTTATCTGAGACCAACGCAAGCACTGGAACCAATCATTGATCAGCTGATCACCAGTGATCCAATCACGTTATCAACTAATCATCACCGCGGCTCACTATTTGATTATTTCTTTCAGTCCCCATGATGTGAAAAATACATTCTCACCGTTTTAATCCAGCATTCCTGTGTTACATCGTCATTTATCTGCCAAATATTTTTCATTTAAGCATTTTTATTCTTACATTAAAAACACTGAATTTTTCTCTTCCTGTAAAATGTTTTAATTTCTGATGACTCATCCTGCACTCAGGGGCTTTGACTATTTTTTACAGCCACTTAAAAAGCTATGTCCAAACCAACAATCCAAATTCTTCAGTTATGTCTCATCCTTCATCTGATGCAACTATGCCGGGAATTACAAGAGAAAATGTTTTTATTGAAGATCTCATGTTGCAGCTCTGCTTTTAGACTACTTTAGTTTTTAACCATCCTGTAATATGGAGATAGTGGGTCTGAATAACAAAGTTTTTAAAGGTTCAGCCTTCAGCAGTGAAACAGGAAGTAATAACTCCAATGTATTCCCTGTTACATGAGTTTAACATGCTGGATCAAGGTAGAGCCCCACGGTCAGAGACTGCAGTCCTCAAAGCATGTGGTTCAAATCTGATATGTTGCTCCTTTCAAGCAGGAAACCTGGACTTTAGGGGTGAAGCCTGATTAGGCATGGTACTGAAGTGAGAGCCGATTAGAAACAAGAAGGTCTGACTTCTCTTCTTTTTCTCCCAGATTGTTGCCGGTCGGGGAAAGAGAGATTTTTGAGAGATCGACATCAGTGAACAATGAGGACAAACTGCCCCACTGGAAAAAACTCTTCTGTCTTTGTGTCGAGCGTCCGGTCGAAGCAGAAGTGAGACGAAGTGTGAGCTGAGTGAGTGTCTGTGTGTGAGAGAGAGAGAGAGAGACGTGTGAGCGAGCGAGCGAGAGACGATGACATCACACCACCTTCAGTTCCGGCAGGCGACAACTCCCCCCTACTCCCAAAACAACTCCCCTCCTTTTTCCTGGACGGCCTGTGGACTGGACTTTGACTCCCCCCTCTTCTAATTCCCCAAAATCAAAACAAACAAAAACTCACCCTCCAGCCCTCCCCCCTCCTCCTCCTCCCTCAAACCACCTCTCTCGCTGTAGCCGGGCTCTCCAACGACATCACGATGACGTCACTGACCCGCCGCCGCCCCCGGAGCCAGGGGGAGGGGGGGAGGAGGGGAAATAGATAAAAACACGACGAGAAAATAAAAGACTTTTGTGGAATCAAAGCTACAAAGCGAGCGGACTCAGTGGACTTCTGTGGAAACTTTAGATTTTGGTTGCTCTTATTTTTTCTTCTTTTTCTTCCTGCGAGCACTCTAAACGGCGACGGAGATCTGACGGACACCTCCACCTGCTCAGTCTCCGGTCTTCGATGCTCTTATCCAAACAACAACAGCACTAAATTCCTTCAACACAAAAGTCAAAACCGACGAGGAATCCTCCGAGGAGCGAGTGCCAAATGGAATAGTTTAGCGGAAATAAAGCGCGCGGTGTGAGCTGCTGGTGAAGCGTTTCAGTTTTTATTTCCCTGCTGCACTTGGTTTGGGAACAGGTCACTCACCATTTTTGCTTGTTTAAAAAAAAAAATTCAGAGAATTGAAGACATTTGTATAAGGTTATATTTTTCCATTGCTATGATGAAAATAAAGTAAAAAACAATAAAATGATATGAAACATTCCCCAAGCAGTTCTGGTGATTTGGCTCTTGTCATCTGTCGGACTTGTGGACTCAAACCTTTTGGACTCTGCTGATTGGAAGCTGAACTTTGGCCGCTGCCCACTGACGGTTTGTTTCAGCCACAAAGAACCTGATTTTTTTTTGATTTTTTTTTTACTCTACTCACTTCCTGGCTTGTTTGGTCGCAGCAGCTCTCGGCTCCCCGCTGACGGGGAGTTCTTTCGGGACGTTGAGTTTGTAGTTTGGGTGATAATCCGAGAAAGCTGCGAGCACGCTCAGTACCGTCTGTCGCCTTCACTCCGGGGTCGGATCACTTCACCTTCACTCATTAACGACAAAAAGTCTCATCAGGAAACAAAAACTCAAATATGATTTTCTCTGGAAGTGAAGTGTTTCCAGCCTCGGAGGGCTTTTTTTTTTTTTTTTTTTTTTTTTTTTTTTGGTGGAGGTGCGGCAGCCGTAGGGAGGACGTACTTCCTGTGTTGAAATGAATGAACCTGGCAACTCGATTACTGAATTGTGAATCATTTAAAGCCAATCTGCTTTTTATTTCATATTCAACTTTAGTGAACTAATAAAGTCTATATTGTACTGAACCATCGGCTGCTACTTCTTCTGACCACACAGATACTCACACACCTAACAGCAAAACACGAGCACAAAAATAAACACACCTGAGTGTCTAAATCAGTTGAGATCAGGAAGTCTAGTCTCCAGCTTGTGTTTCAAATGTTTGAGGGGGATTGGGATTTCTTTGATCCAACATTATTTTTATGTTGCACTTTAATTGTTAGTGACAAAGAAACCGGAACAGGCTTGTAAAAAGATGGTGTCCTGCTCGACTGCTAACACTCAGTTTCTCTGCTCGCTGTTACAAATTTGTATTGATCGTCATGACCTCGTCTTCAGTCTGAAATGTGTCTCTCATCACAGCAGCTCCATTTGAAACACAAAAATGTTGACTGTATGAGGAGATGGGTGATATGACAGCACTATCTACTTACTGCAGTAGAGGTCATTAGACCCGCCTCCTGCATTTTAACAGATAAGACCAGGGTCAAACTAGAGCATCCAAAAACATGTCCTGTGTTTTTTCTCATAAATCGTTTCTGTCTTTAAAGTTAATTTTTATCCCGAGTATATTTTTTTTACAAGATTAGTTTAAGGCAGTTATTTGATGCTATGAAAGGGGTTTAACATTGAGATGACAGTTCTCTTGACAAATGTGACTCCTGCTGTGCCTTGTGCACTGGATTAGTAGAGTAGAAGAGCAGGGGAGTTCCCAGAGGGGTGGCATGCCCCCCCTTGAATTCTTATTGGCCACCCCAAAATCCTTAACCATGATTGACTATTTGCCTTGCCAGAGATGGGACTCGTGTTGAAATCCAATCATATATACGTTAAATTGTGACTCTGGACATAGGCCTGCATATTGTTTTGAGTCCTTGAGAAGAGAAATATGTTGTGCCAGTATCTTGTGTTACTTTAAAGTCACCAGTTTCATTGTGAAACTTCTGCACACAAAAAAACAACAAAAAAAGCATCACTGCTTGCATGATATTTATTGTGTTATCTCCACAAAACAAAGCTAGTTTTCCAGAGATAACAAGTTTATTCTAGTTCACTTCTGGAGAATTTCCTCTTATTTTTCTTGTTATTCTAAAATACTGTTTACCAAACAATAGGCTGGTCTTTATGCAGTCAATGGGTCACTGTGATGGGCCAGACAACGACATGGATACATGTCTGCTTAGACTGCTTAAATGAATACCTCCAGTGGGGTCAATACAGTTTTAATATGCACAACACTCTATTAAATGAAATGTAAAGAATATTGAAACACAAAACAATGACATGAAATACTGTAAAATAACACAAAAATGAAAGAATTAAAGCCAAATGTGCTAATATTAATTTAGTTTGAACTAGCCTTCTGAAATCAATAAGTACATAATCGCTTAATGGAGATGCTTATGGGCAGGTTAATTAACATTTTAAAGATTTTTTAAATATATTTAAAAACAAATAACAAATAAACAAATAAAAGGATCAATCATATGAGGGACAAAAAATGACTGAAGTATAAATAAATAAATAAATGTTGGGAGAAATGCATACAATAATGTATAAATAAATAAATAATTAAATAAATGCATCAATAAATATATAAATGCTGAAAACAATATATCAATGAATAAATAATAAATACAATTTGTGAATGAAAAAGGCTATTTATATATTTTTACATGTATTTATTCATTTATTAGCATGTTTTTACAGTTATATATGTATCAATGCATACATTTCCACATGAATTGAGTTATTAATTTATTTCCGTATTTTTACATTTACACATCTATTTATTTCTGTGTCCAGGTTGTAAGAGGAAAAGTATATAAATTAAATTTGCTTCTGTCTGTTTTTCAAAATTGACCAATCCTACTTCAGTAATTTTAGGACGGCCCACTTAATTTACATATTTACTTTTCCTTGTACAACATGGACACAGAAATACATACATAAATATATGAATATATTTATATATTACTTTATATGAATTGTTGCATTTATATATATATTTATATATTTATTGATGCATTTATTTATTTATACATTATTGTATGCATTTCTCCCAACATTTATTTATTCATTTATTTATTTATTTACACTTTAGTCATTTTTTGTCCCTCATACAATCAGAGCTGTCGGTGTGTGTGTTCATTCGTTGATCACACGCACACTCACATGGACGCGCAGAGAGAGAGAGAGAGAGATAGAGAGAGAGAGAGAGAGAGAGAGAGAGAGAGACCCCCGGTAGTGACGGAGGCTCTCCGGTACTTGGAGGTGTTTTGCAGATGGAGGTTTCGGTTTCGGGGTCCACCGAGCCTCTGTTTATCAATCAGCACTGATCGATTATTGATGCCACCGCTGCGCAGCCGCCCACCCCCCCGCGCCCACCCCCGCGACCCCCGTCCTCCATCATGTTCTCTCACCGGAGGATGAGTCGGTAGGTGGCTAACAGCGAGCTAACGTTACCGAGCAAGGCTGCACCGGGCGGGTTTTTCTCATGTCTCTTCATGTTCTGACGTCGTTCCGAGGAGCCGTTACCGTCCGGACCGGCTGTGGGTCCGTGCTCGGCGGGGAGTCCCGTTAGCGGGGAGGATGCAGCAGCTAGCCTCCGTTAGCTCCGCCGCTGTTTATTTATCTCGCTGTTATGTAAGTGCGGAGCGCGTTTAGCCGCCGAGCTAACGTTTTGCCTGTCAGCATGAATGACGCGCAGCAAGACCTGTCTCCAGACTTCGTCCTGATGCGGCTTGTGTCCGCGGCCGAGTATGACAGGCTGGACGAGCCCGACGACCTGATGTCCGGGGGCGGCGGCGGCGGCTTCGGGCCCGTTAAGTCCGTGCTGGGTCACCACGGCGGGGGCTTTGATCTGGACCCCAGCGGCCCCTCGCCAGGCCTCGGCTCGGCCTCCCCGCACTACAGCTCGCCGCTTCCCGGGAAAGGCGAGCTGGACGGCGGGCTGATGCTGACGCAGGCCTCGCCGGGATCAGAGGCTCCGCTGTCCCCGCCGCCGCCGGAAGACTTTGCCGTCGCGGCCCAGAGGTTCGTGGACTACCCGGTGCAGCACGGCTCGGCGGGGCACGGGTCGAGGGCTCAGCTGATGGTGTTCCAGAACCTGCTGCGGTCCGGTGACCGGATTCTGGAGTGCGGACTCGAGCAGCCGCCCCCGGGGTTTCTGCAGGAGGAGGCAGAGAAGCAGAGACAGCAGCTGGACCCAGGATCCGGTCCTGGTAGCACAACAGCTGGTCCCGGGCCTGGAGGCGGCAGGGACCAGAACTCACACTGCATCCCCTCTGCAGAGGAAAACCTGCACCCGCAGCCACAGATCCTCCAGTGGCACCCGGTCCTCAGACTGTCTAAGGGGACTGATGGATCTCAGATGTCACAGGGCGACCCAGCTCTGGACCCTGAGCCTGGGTCAGCCCTTTGCCACCGACACCGTCTGTTGACTGACAGACTGGCTAAATGGCCCCCGGGGCCTGCTAGACCAAGCACTCCGTTTGGGCCTGCTGGACCCCAGGAAGACCTGTCCCTCTGGGGGGGAAGACCCAGTCCTGGCTCTGGCCCGAAGGCTGGGACAGCTGAGTGAGGGGAGGGAGGGAGGTCGAGGAGGAGGTGGGGGATGCTCGTGTCACAGTGTGCTGGCCTCGGGTACTGGGGGCGAGGACCCGAGTGAGACCAGTGACGCCTTGCTGGTCCTGGAAGGTCTGGGGTCTGAAGAGGTTGGTGGACTGCATGAGGGAGGGGACAGGGACTTTGGGGATACTGAGAAAGTAGAGAGGATAGGGGTTGGAGGGGGGGACGTCTGTGGAGGCGGGGCCTGTGTTCTCCAGTGGGACTCTGAGCGGTCTGATGCGGCAGGTCCACAGGCTGGCAGAGGAGGCAGGGGTCTGCACAGATCAGTCCTGCAGATCCTCACTTGCGGTCCTGGGTGCTGCGGTGTCCCTCCCAACCTGTGTAGACCCCGGCCCCTCATCGGTAGCACCAACCCCCCGGCTCGTACCCCCCTCTCCACACACCCCCCAGGCTGCAGCAGCCCTCAGCGGTCTCCAGGTGTCCCCGAATCGCCCCCGACCTCCATCCTCGCCCCGAGCCCCCGCCCCCCACCAGCACCAGTCCCGCTCCCAGCCCCAAAGCCGCGCCACCACCCCAAACTCGGATTGGCCTCGGGCGGAGCGGGCCGCTGCGCCTCCCCCTGGTGGTCCTCGAGGGGGACGGGGGGAAAGAGGGGGAGAAGACGCCACGGGGGAAGTCCAGGAAAGGAGGATCCCTAAAGGTCCGGCTCAGTAAGCTGTTCCGGACCAAGAGCTCCAGCGGGGTTCAGGGGGGCTGCTGGACAAGAGGCCATCCCTGGCGTCGTCGACTTCATCAGGGGGGAGTCTGCTGGACGTGTGGGGGTCGACCTGCAGCACGCCGAGCAGGACAGCAGCAGGTAAACAAAGAAATGATTGTTTTATTCATCGATCGATTAAGAGTTCAGATCAAACTAAACAACAGGAGGGGGCGGGGCAAAAACAAAACCATGGACCAATCAGACTGCTCCCGAAATGGACCCAATTTTTCCTTTTTTATTTGTTGTAAAAGATGAATCAGTTAAAGATTATCAATCACAGATGACAGTTAGACAGAAACTTACCTGTACAGGTAAAAAACAAACAGTATCAACAAACAGCAG